ATAAGGCAAAGCGCCTCCCTTCTTCTTCTAGGGCTCCGCTAACTCCCTCCTCCAATCATCCAATGGATTTCATAGATCGTCTGGTTCTCGCGAGAGACCTTTCCTCCCATGGGAAGGCCCTCTTGAAGCCATTGTTCAAATAAATCTCTCTTGACTTTCCGTCAACGGAGGACCCCAGGAACTTCTGTAAATTTCCTAGGTTATAAAGAAGCAGATTGAAGGTGTGGGACCTTATATCTGCTGCTAAAGACTTATTTCCCGAGCTCAGGATGGTCCAGGTAGCGTCAATTGAGCTCACAAAAATGTCGAAACAGGGAGAGGGAGAGTCTCTGTTTTACTCTACCTCACTTTATTGGTTGTAGCTACAGGCAAAGTAAGAAGCGGCGATTTAAACTTTGCTTCGGAAACGGTTGTACTGGGGTGTACTTCGTGTACATTTTCCCCTCATACTTTACTGGTTGTCAGTACTTGTGGAGAGAGGCAAGCTGATGGTCCGAAGAGGGGTCTTGTATCCAGCGCGACCTATAATTTGGTGGGGGGATGCTGCACCTGATGAGTCACAGACACGCATCGAGGCTGCTATTCTTACGCCGCGCGTTGACAGAGGAACCACTCTGTGTGCGGAGTTTTAAGGAAGCTTTCCCTAGCCTTACTTTCACAGGTCTTGCGTGTTATTTTTCTCTCTTGTGACCTTTCACGGCTTAGGGGGACATTGTATCGGGTATTAGTGAGGGGTCGCGTCTAATTTTTCGCTTACCTAGAAATTGATTCGGAACGCATTGCTCTCAATGCTATGAATTTCGGAGCAGATTTGCTAGAAATGCCCGATTATCACCGGTGTGATCGTGGCTTAGAAGGAACTACTTAACCCGCTTTATTCCATTGTCCGCTGTCGTTCTAGGAGTATGTCGGCGAGTTGACGACTCGTATCGATCCCGAATATCTTATATCCGTCAATCTCGTGTACATGTGTCACCCACGTAGTCTGGGTTGAAAGGGATGGTCTTTCTCACGCTGCTGGTTGTGGCAAAAATGGTCATGTGAGTGACACGAATGCAGGGTAACTTACAAAACGAACTCTATTCTCATCAGTATCTGATTGGATTCTTTGGGCATCAGATTTCAGCAAAAGGTGGGTACAGTCTGCGAGCCTGGTTAGCCTAAATTGGGCCAATCTTGATTTCCTTTTTTAGTCCCTTAAAGTTACTACGAGGTGAATTCGTGGTGGACCCCATCCCTGGTTAACCTAGTCTCCTTTTTATTCACCTAGTTATTATGCGTGACTTTCGTTCCCGGCTAGGTTTTGGTCTTTGTCAAGATTCCCAATCTCGCCAGATATTTTTATTCATTTTTATCTTGAGATCAGCTTTTTATATATCACCATTCCCAAATGTATTTTGGCTCTCCCCTGCGGGCAAGCTCCTTTATTCTGCTTATCTGCAAAATAGAGTGGTTGTTCTTATTTTTGTGGGTTGGACGTGCCATCCTAACACAGTTTTACTTTTGCTTTGAATTCTTTGATTTCTGTTATTTGATTATTTGGTTCAGTCCCTCCCTGTAAATTTGCATATATTTTTGTAAAAACAAAAAAAAAATTATATTATTATATGTTAAAATATTTTTATCATTATGTGCCCCCCCCCCCGACCTGAAAATATGGTATTGCTGTATATGTTAAGTTTGGATGGAGTAGGATTGGCTTTTGCAGTGATTGAGATAATTGGTGAAGAGAAAGCCTTGTGAGTCGAATTAGCTAGGTGTAGGATAAACAATAAAGAACAGCCACTTCGGCCTTGTGCCAAATATAAATGTATATTTGCTCAAGATGTGAACCACATGGTAATTATGTTCAAACTGGAAGGATGTTAGTTTTCCCGGTTCACTGACAAGTGACTGTCGTTTCTTTTCTTTCCAACACATATCTTTTGCACGTGTCTTCTGAAACTTCAACCTTTGAAGTAAATCAAGTTTTTGCTTGGTTATTCGAAATCAGGGCAAAGATGACTTCAGCGCGACCAATATAGTTGATACTGACTTGCCCTAATTGCTTGACCAAGAAAAAGAAAGCGGACATCACATAACTATGTTTAATCCTCCCAGTGATAAAATAAGTACATTTACTTGTTCCAACTATACGCAAGACTGACTTGAGTTCGATGCTCATACTGACTTACCCTAACTTCTGAACCAAGAAAAAGAAAACGAACATACCTAAAGACATTGAGAATTTTTTTTTTTTTACTACAGTCACCATAAAAAGAATAAACGTCCTTATGCTTTCTTGCTTACATACTGAAGACGCACCTTCACCTAAAATATACAAAACAACTACAGTTTGTTGTCACCTTCCACAACTGCAGTTTGTTGTCACCTTGATGAACGGGAGAAGATTATTATAGAACGTTTGGTTGGTGTTTATGTTTGATTTCAGTAGCCGGAAGCGACCTGGTCACAATCTATTCCGTGAGCAGGCTTCAGATCTGTGTACGAGTCCGTTTATAATTGGTATCCGCGACTATCGGCATTATTTGAAGCAGAGAGAGATTGTTGAAGGAAAAACCCAGCCAATAAAGGCCTGCCAGAGGAGTACCTCAGAGTGTGGCAAACGGCGGCAGTAAACTAACCAGTGAAGTCCAACCAAGCTGGACAAGAGACTCGCGATAGACGATTGAAATCGAATTTTGAAAGGGGACTCCCAACAAAATAGAGCAGCTGCGAAACGACAAAATGAGCAGTGTGCCATTAAGGGAGGTAAGAATGTCATTCTTTTCTATTTCCATTGCTTCCCTGTTCGATTGTGCGTCACTAAAAGTTCTCGGATATTGAGTATAGTATATTATATTTTGCCATTGACTTAATTCGATCTTAAATCATTTGATATTCAGGCTTCCAATGTCAAATAAAATTGGTAACTTGGAAGTTCTTGATTTTCCAATAAACGGACATTCTGATTTCATCTTTACTGTGCATAAAATCAATCCTTAACTCCACAAAAAGTACCAGAATTACAAACTTTCCTCAGACGAATGTTTTTAGCATATTTCAAAACGGAAATTTTGTTAACAGTTTATGATGATATTATGCACCAAAGTGGAGGCACAGGACTCTGACTCACTATTTGATAAATAATTTTTTATCGTCTAAATGCTTATGTTATTATTAAAAGGAAAGACCAAAGTATATTCTGATTATTTTTTTAATTTTTTAATCCTTCCTAGCACGCCCGAAGTTTTAGTTAAAGATCTTTTTTTTGAGTCAAGAAAACTGACATAAAATCCATCATGTCAGCCATTTTTGATAACTTTGTAAACAAAAGTGAAATTCTCCGTTTAAAAATCTTATAAAATTCAATTACACTTTTTAAAAAAGTTATTTTTAGGAAAATTTAAAGTTTATTGGAAACAAACATTTAAAGCTTAATTGGAAACAAAAATTACTTGATTTTTTAGCAGAAATTAGTTGGAAATATGAGAAGCATGCTTAACCGTGGTGATTGGTTTGGGAGGTATGGATTGACGTTTACGTCAATGTATCGACAACTAACTTCAGGGCAATTTATCGGACGGAAGGACAGAAGTGACAGTATTTTCGAATTTTAAGTGAACCAGCTTATTTAACTATAAAGCAATTCTTAAAAATTAAATACTTTCAAAAGTCGAATATTTTATTGATTTTTAGGTACTTTTTATAACGAAGATATATCCAAAACCTGCACTGTTTCCTTCCCTGAAATTAAATCCAATAAAGAAAAAAAAAACTAATAATTGGAGTATGATTTATATTCTTCAAAGTCTTTTGCATTTAATTAAAATAATCACAAAAATACACATAGTCGAGTTTTCATAAAATTAAGGGGCGGGTAATAGATGTAAAAAAAATATTTTTCCATGATTTTCTAAAAACAAACATTTCTAAAATAATTTCATTCATATTTGAATAAGTTCTGAAAGTTTCATTAAAATCCGACAATTATTGATTTTTGCAAGAATTTCCAAATTAATGCGTTTTTCAATTGAAAAAAGCGCCAAAAAAATAATAATAAAGGCTAAATATTACGTGAGTGCTAACGAAAAAAAAAAACAAACCAAAATTTCGAATGTGCTAGAAAGGATTAAACATTTTTTTTAAATAATTAAAAAATACTTTGGTCTTTCCTCTTAATAATGACAAACATTTTGACGATAAAACTTTGTTTTTATTAAATTCGGAGCCTTTTTTCATCATGCTATGCTGTTTTCTCGGCGAATTATTGAACATCAGTGGAAATTCTATTAATAAGATTTACTAAACACTCCTTAATTACGACACATGTATAAGAAATACAGTGAGGTTCAACACCGAAGAAAAGTAAAAAGTAAGCTGACATTTGTGTAACTGTCTCAAACATAACAAGTATGAACAAATATGATAACGATATTTACAAGATTTTTCTTGTAAATATCGTTATCATATTTGTTCATACATATCATATATTACCAGCTTTTTGCTGGTAATATGATTTAAATAGAATAAAAGACATTCTCGATACGAACACTGTCTAAAATGTAATAACAATGAAATAATTGAGAAACAACTGAAGAAAATGAAACTTGCAAAGAAAACAAATCCTATATAGAAGCTAAATGTAATTAAAAAAAAAATAAAACGTTCCTGAGGAAATTCATCATAACCTCTGAGCATGTTTCCACTTGAAAGAGATGAAACTCAACATTTCAATATTTCCTTTGAATTTTTTCTACTTAAATTATTCGTTTTCATTGTTTAGGCACACACTCTTCCTTCCATTCTTTTTGTCTTTCTTTCTACTTCGGCTTCTTTCTCTATCAACGCACTTGTTTTCTTTTAAGTGTCTTTCAACATCTGCCGTCCGCAGTTTTGTTTACTTATTTTCCATGATAGACATATCACGTGTCGGAACATTTGACCATACTCCTTTCATTCATCACAGTCTTCAATATCATCAGTGCAGCATATCAACTTTCTGTCACTAGACAGGAGCAATGGGAAGGAATCCAAATTCTGAATCAGCAAGAAATCTTCGAACCAACGTATCTGTCGCTCACCTCTACCACGTGTCACGACCAAGCCATCTAAGGTAAAATGGTCTTCTCGACGCGACTTGTAATAATTGTTGTTTTTGCTATGTAGAAATGTTTATTCATAATTTGATTTTACCAACACCCTCCCCACATCGCTACAGTTTTTCTGCCTGCTGACAGACTTCCCGATATTTTACTCCACTTCTTCCTTTCCCCACCAGTCTGGGGTAATTTCAGTTGCTGTTTAACGCAGGACACATTACTGTCACCGACTCAATTTCTCAAGAATTCCTATTCTTTGCTTCCAATTTTATGGTAAGACAAACTTATTTCACTAGAATCAATCATTTCCTAAAAATCTTTATTCCACATTTTTTTTGTTTGTTTTGGATTCTTTTAATTTTAAGTGCAAGTATTTTCTGCTTTACGAAATTACATAAAAAGGAAGAATCAGTTACCGCATAGTGTGAGTTTTATGATCAGATTTGTACACAAAAAATAGGAGTTCGCACAATACGTAGGTAATGTTTTTGAAAAGGTTAAATCCTACATTTTTGGTGACCGGTTGCAGTATACACAGATATTTTTTCTGAAGGTGATTAAAATTCATGCAAAAAATTTCAGGGGTCGCCCTATACATGAAGTCGGCTTATACAGGAGTACTGTGCTATTACTTTATATAGGTTAAATATTTTTAGCATTTTCAAAAAATATTTCCATATCTGCCTACTAAAAATGTATTAAAGGTCGAGTTCCGTCGTTTACAGTAAACAACGAAACTCGACTTTTAATAGAGAAGAATTGATATGGAAGATTTGAATGCTTGACTGTTTAGATTCACGCATTTTTTGTATTGTACAGTCCCTTATAAGTTTCTTGAAACGCATCCTAAAAATTCATACTTAAAAATAGAATAAAAGCAATTACGACTCTATCAATCGTAGCGAAGATCTTAGTCTATTTTCTGAGTGTTAAAAAAAATTTCCCATAGAAATGAATAATAATTGTCTCTTCGCCTTACATCATTTCACTTCCCAAAATATTTCATAGGGAGGAAGTAATTTCGAATAGCAGAAAAAACCTGTATAAATTTATTTTTTTATTGCTTTCTTTCACCAATTTTCTATGTTTCGATTATTTCTCACGGATTCAATATCCTCCATTTTTGTGGGGGGGGGCGATATCTTGCTTTATTTTCTCCATATTTCAAACCCTATCTCCTTATTGGTTGGGGTCGCTGCATTTATGTGGCCAATGTTCAAAGCTTTAGTCAAATTTGGAAAACATTCTCACGGTAAAGATAGATTTCCCCTTTAGGCAACTGGTACAGCACAATCTTCCTATTACACTTATAATCAGTACATTAATGTATTTACAAAATCTACAGTATTTCAATGGCTTATATTCATCTCCATCTCGACGTAGTGTAATGGTTAGAAAGATTTACTTTCTAGATCAGATACGACTGAGTAGTGAGTTCGATCTTTTTCGGCCTTGTGCCACATCTAAGCTGCGCTTAGAAAATCACTATATTCATCTCCATTTGTTTGTATTCGTCTATCAATCTTAATAGCTTTATTTGAATTTTTCTTTCATTCACATTCTGCAAGTGCACACTTCCACTGTCCTAATTTTTCCTTTTCTCGTAGAAATTAGTAAATATAATTTCTTCAATACATTTTAGCGAAAAATCAGCAAGATTATTTAAGGAATAGAAATCGACTATCCTTATTTGGAGCATCGGTGAAATACAATTTTCCCCTTTTCAACTTCCTCCATTTTTCCATTGTGCTCTACTTATTTAAGAATTTTAGTGATCTTGATATTTAATAAGCACCAAAAATAATTAGATTAGACAGATTTTTTCAATTTTCGGAAACTTTTACAGAAATTTAAAACCAAACTTAAGTAAGCATAAATTTTTATCGCCAAAATTTATTTCGTAAATATATTTTTACTCAAATTCAGTTCTTTTGAATTTGGGATGATACCGACGTTGGACAAAGATTAAATGAAACTATTGTTGTAAAACTTATAAAATCCAAGCGAATATTCCCTTTTTTTTTTTTTTTTTTTTTTAATATAATCAGAAATTAAATTGATTCAATTTTTCACCTACAAAAACTTACTTGGTGCAAAATTGTCAAACGGCAGAGAGGAAATCAACATATACAGTAAAAAGAAAAGAGTGGTGTAATGAGGAAATCGCTTTCTTGTTTATCCCGTGATGATCACTTGTTTTGATGACCTTCTTTATTAATAGTTGGAAAGAGAAAGTGGAACTGGCACTTGAAGCAGACTTTCTAGATGAAGAACAGAATGCAGTCGGCCATTGTGCTTGTCTTATTCTTAAGCCTGGAAACAGGTGAGTCACAATCCTTTTTCTGTTGCAATCCTCTCTCGGCCATTTTTTTAACTGTTCGTGGCTAAGTGCATCACTTAAAAAAAATCGCAGTCTTTCTTCTCATTCAGACTGTTTATTTTCACATACATTTTCATAGCGTACACACTCACAAATGATCAGCATGATACAGGTCAAACATTAGAATATCCGTGTTTTTTTTTCTATAGCAGAAATAATCCAGTTAACTGATGCTTGAATATTAAAGAACATTTTCTTTTACCCGAGAAGCAACAGACATTTTTAAATTGGAACGAATTCAATTGGCTTTGATCCTTGAAAAAAAAATGCGTAAATGCCAATTATTTTGTAAGATAGCCCTAACCATCAAGTAATCATTTTGCACCAGCAAGTACCGCGATTTTGGTATGCTTGTACTAGGAGTTTCATCATTTGACTTTCATGAGAGTTTTAAAATTCCTATCAAAAGATAAAATTAAATATTTGACCCCATCTCATGTTGGAGAAAATATTATATTAAGAATAGTAAGAACTGAATCACCATTTTTATTTTTTCATTATTTCTTTTTATTACTCAATTTTCAATTTATACTCGTTAACCTTGGAATGAGATTATATATATATATATATATATATATATATATATACATATAATCTTACTCAACATACCCATTGTATCCGGAATCAACAGTGCACTTCACAAATTAGTTGAAGTTATTACAAAAATGCTAACTCCGGTCTCAGGCACCATCAATCGAACACATTAAACACACTGGTCACTTAATCCAGAGAATACAAAACAAATATGGAAAACAAGGTTATGGCTATCTTAAATATCAAATCACTACACACAAACATACAAGTCACAAAATGCTTCAGTATATTGAGAAACCACCTCACAAAATCCAAAGATAGATACCAGATCTATCACAAAATGCAGGAGACGTGGGCTCTTACTCAAGTGGCCGTCTACTCAGGTGGCTCGCTACCTGGATAGAATGCTATTGAGAAGGGTCGATCTAGATTTGCTAGATTGTCCTACGCTCCACTGGTTAGGTTATTTGGGCCACAGACTTGTAGTGGGAGAGGCTTAATGATAGCATTAGGTCTTTCACCACCTAATATGCTCAATGAAGATAAGGTTAAAAAAATCTCACGGATAGTCTGTCTCAGACGGAAGCTCTGAGGTTTTCTAGAGATAGGCCTAGCTAGGCAGGATTTGGAGCGAGCGGCTAGTAGGACCAGGTAATTAGATATAGGTAAAACAAGTTTGGGTCCTGTCACTGGATCTAACCAACGCCTTTATCCACTTGTGTCCATCGATCTCGTATACGCGTGTGATGTGTCGCCCCAGTATTCTGGGGTGAAATGAATGGTGGTTTTGATGTTGCTAGCTGTGGCAAGAATGGTGTGGACGTCGCGGATGGTGAGAATTTTGCGATACGAACTTTATTCTCATCAGGATCTGGTTGGATTATTTCGGCATTGGCTCAGGATGAAGATCAGATCTGTTAGAAAGCGTTAATGTCGATTTTAGATTTCATCGAAAAGGTGGGTGAAAGTGGCGAACTTGGTTCGAGTGAACAGAGGCTGATGATTTTCTAAGTCCCCTTTAACGTAACGGAGCAGTTTACTGACGGATCCCTCCTCTGGTTAAAGCTAAATTCTCTTAATTTACCTAGTTCATGTAAGTTATTGTTGTTCCCGACATTCTTTTTTGTTATTGTCCATGTCGAGATTCCATCTTCTGCAGTTTGTATTTGTTCCCCTCTCTTTCTTTTATCTCAACTGGGTTAGGATATTTATTGTACATAACATACAATTACGGCACAAGGCCAAAATGGGGAGCGTTTGAGGTTGGTCATCACTATCTTATACCTAGCTAATCTGATTCACGACCCTTTCACGCATTACAGTTTCTACCTTCACCACAAGAACTCGTCCATCACCAATCAATCCTCCATCCACCATAATACCACATCCTCTCAAGAGGGTCCTAAAAAACGCGCCCCATACTCAACTGGGTTAGCCTTTGATTTTCCTATTCCACCATTCATTTATATCCTTTCCTCTCCTTTAGTGGGCGAGCTTCTTGATTCTACCTATTGGCAGAATACAGGGACCGCTCTTATTTTTGTGGGGTGGAGGGGTCATACTAACATTTTATTTTTAATTTGAATGTTTTGTCATATTTTAGTATCGCTCTTTGAGTTCATCACCTCCCCCAACATTTCATGTATTTAAATTTAAGATATAAGAAAATGGAAAAGATTAAAAAATAAAAGCACATTTTGGACATTATCGAATTTTATGCCATGGTTCCCTGTGAATATGTGTTTTATGTATGATTGAATGGCGATGAATGTGTTCGTGTGGTAAATGAGTAAATTGTAATGGATGAATGTGTCGTGAATCTGATTAGCTAGGTCTAGGATAGTTAATGTTCACCAGCCCCTTCCCAATTCCCCTTAGGCCTAGTGCCACATTTGTTGTAAAAACAGCAATAAATATACATTCTGTAATTACTTTTATCTCAAATTTGAATTATTCATTCAGACTTTACCTAATTTATATATTTTCGTTTATGCAACTAAAAATGCACCAAATAGGAGATGGCAATGCAGTTAAAGAAGGTATTTTTTTTCTTAATGTCAACTTCTAATAAACTAACTTTTAAAGCGACTCACTCACCAAAATTGATATTTCAATGATCATACATAAAACTGACTTGAGGAATTGGGTTGGGCCGAGAACTTTATAATATAGCCCATCTCGGAGACACTGTTTCGGTTTTACTGAATTCTGAATTGGAAGCAGTGTTCAATTACAATTTTTGCGAATGCGGTTCCAAACAGCTTAATTATTCATTTCACATAATATATAGATACTTACAACTTTGTACAAATACAAACTAACAAGACTGAAAGTAAAAATTGTACATTATATATATATATATATATATATATATATTTGTTACGAACCCTCATCTAAATTTATTATAAAAGCTATATCAATGCTTATATTTTAGAAGCGTTTGTGGTGCGACTTATTTCGTTGATTACCCAACTCATCACGCACAAGGTATAACTTATAATTTAAAAAAAAATACAGGGATTCATGGTAGGAACGCAGATTCACAGCTCAAATTTAAATAGGACAAAAACAATAATGGAGTTTAAATACAGAAAATATAGTGTAGGCAGTCGCACCACAAACACACACACACACATATATATATATATATATATGTATATACACACACACAGACAATATCACTAAGCGCTATACGAGGATGAGTGTTCTTTGTTCAATTGTTTTAATGTATTTCAAAGTACAAAGAAATTGTTTTAATGCTAAAAATCAACTTTCTACACGGAAAATAATCTAAAAAGTTTAAAATGTATTTAGATTTTTTTTTATTAATCAGTATCGAATACCTTATTTAGAAAGAAGATGAGTCTGTTCCTCGGGATAATTTCACAATTTTACGTCATCATTGAGATTGCTAAAAAAGAGCATAGCATGATGAAAAAGACGCCAAACTTGACGAAAAAAATTTTATCGTCTAAAATGTTCGTTATTATTAAGAGAAAAGATCAAAGTATTTTGGGGGGTATTTTTTACATTTTTTAATCGTTCCGAGCACGTCCGAAATTTTCGTTAAAATCTTGTTTTTTTTGAGTCAGCAAAATTGACATCCACTTTTTTCCATTTTATAAAAAAGATGAAAATCTCACTTTGAAATTCTTTTAAAAATCAATTATCATTTTTGCAAAACTTATTTTGAGAAAATCAGAAATTATAATGTTTATTTAAAATATTTTGAACCAAGGTTGACTTAGCTTCTACGCCGAAAAGATGTAATTTGAAAATAAAACAAAGCAGGTCATAACCTTTCGCGTCACTTGACAGGTGATGAATAACGTATTGACGGATTACGTGATCATAATTTGTTCTACGGAAGCCGAAAAGTGAAGTTATTTAGATTTAAGTGATTTACCTCGTTATTTTTAAGGAAAACTTTCAGCGCTCTAATTTTTTTTTTCTTTTTGTACTTAGCTTTCACCTTTACGTTTACGATGCTTTATAGAAAATATATTATAAAGAAATTAAAATAAGACTGTTAAGAGTGAGATTAAATTTCATAAGAAAGGTATCTAATTAATTTATAGGTACCTTTCTTATGAAATTTTATCAGAAGTGTACATAAAATACTATAATTTTATGTACATTTATTACATTTTACGGTGTTATTATTTCTGCGGGTCTTCTGATTAATCAAATCGATACAATTTACAACGCGCTAAAAAAAGATCTATCTCATAAGGACACTTAGGAAACCCTATGCGGCTTTTAACTAATTTTATAATATTTTAACAACTTAAATGTAAAAATCTATTATAATTAAAGAAATAACAAATAATTGTATTAAAAATTCATTTTTCATCGAAAAAAATTTTTGTTTCAGAAAATATTTTCCATATTCATAAAAGCAAATAAAAGCATTTGAAATTAAATAATATATTTGTTTTATTGAGTTTTGTATGTAACAATTCAGAGCTGATCTTCAGGTAGTGTGGATCCAATTAAAACAAAAAACCAAAAAAAAATGAATTGTATTCCTCAAAGACTTGTGCTTTTAACTATTGTAATCACTAAATCCGATGCGATCGAATTTCTAGCGTTTTCATAAAATTAATTATGAGAGTGGTAATAAATATAAAAAAATATATATTTCTGCCATGACTTTAATAAAAAAAAAAACAAAAAAACTTATAATAATTTTGATCATCTGTGAATAGTTTCTGAAAGTTTCTCCAAATTAATGTCATACAAAAAAACGTTCTGGTGATACAAAGAGAAACAAGGTTTTTGTAATAAAAATTTAGAAAGTTCTAAAAAGAAAGAAACATTTTAAGAAAATAATTAAAAAAACTTTGGTTTTTCCTCTTAATAATAACATGAACATTTAGACGATAAAATTTTGTTTTCAAGTTTGGCGTCTTTTTCATCATGTTATGCTATTTTTTTTAGCGATTTCGTGGAGTTACCTATGTAAAATTTAGGTTTTGTTTGCGATAGGCTTTGTTGATTCAGGTTTTGGTTATCAATTTATAAATTTGTAGAACAAGAAATTAGTATATTTATAGCGATTTTTGTTTATGTTCCAGAAAGTTGTTCTCGAATTGTCCCCGTGAAAAAATACAAAGTAAATGGGCAACATCTTTCTCGACCTCCGCCGTTTTCAACATTTTTGAAAAATGTTCAACGGCTTTTCTACCGACCAAGTCCCAGAAACAGAGGTACGTATAGCAGAATGGGTGGTGGAAAAGGTAAGGAAATAGCCACAACTTTCCATAAAGAGCATCGGCTTAGAATTTCTATTCCATTTATTATAAATAATTAAGTATGTATTTGCTTAAAAAAGAATTGGGTTGATAAACAGATTTTAAATTAAAATGGAAAATAAAACTATGTAAAGAACAAACAATTTAGTAAAAATGTAAAACTTATTTTTCATTAATGTGAAAAAAAATACCTTCTGTTATTTTCAGATCATTTTGTAAATTTGATATGTCTGTGGATCGAATATAACTATTGTTTCCGGATGCGGGATTCTTTCACTGAGCGTTTTCCTTTATGAAAACTGGGAAAAGATCTGATGGAAAATGGCTTCGTAAATAGAAAATAAATGCAATCGAAAAGTTTTGAACACATGCAAAGAAAAAAAAAACTGTTTCATCATCATCATCATATTATTATTATTTATTTATTTTATTATTATAAATTTGTTGAGAGTACATTATTAGTTGATTTTTATTAGTATTGACTGACTGATTTTTGACAGGTGGTAGCAGACTATATGTTCGGGACGGACGATTCCATTACAGGAACCAAATGATCTTTTTGTCTGGAGTAAACCAAGCATGGGTCCACTACAGTCAAGATTTTGGCAATAATAATTTTAAAAAATCAAAAGCAGAATTTTATGAAATTCTTAAAAAAGTTCACGCCGCTGGAGGGAATTCAATCCGTAAGTATTTGATTTATAACAATCTGCACACGTAAACTTAAGCGTATTTTTTCTGATTAATCATGAAGGGATATGAAGTTTGTAATTTGTACCTTAATAGTTATAAGGTTTGGTTTTCCCACATTAGTTAACGTGCTAATCTTGCAAAAGGAGTTCGATTCTCACCTAATAATACCCCCGACAAATATAGTAATGACTGAATTGTCTAAGTTATTTTACTTGTTTCTGTAATTGCAATTCTTGAGTTTGTTTTTGGGTAGCAATGGGTTCCATATCAAAATATATTGCTATTTAAATCATTCTTCGAGGGAAAACGATATTGCAAAAGCACTTGTTTAATTCCTTTAGTTCAAGCTTATATGGTGTATAAATCATTAATAACACCACTCATAGCCACCAAAATACCTAAACCTTAATTATGTTCTGCGACCGTTTAAACTTATTGCTTTCAAGATTTAATGATGTTCTATTTGTTGTAATTGTTTATAGGTTCTCGAAAAAAATGAGTGTGATTTTTATCATTTTTATGGTGGTGGTGGGGGAATTGGTGACCTAACAGTTATCTGCGTAAAAAAAATGGAATTAGCAGAGTTCAAATACCTATCGAGTGAGTTTGTCTTTACTTCATGTGCTTGGAAAAGCCATGCATCTCTATTCCTCAACGAGCTATGGGTAAAATTGCAGGCAAAATGGGCTCTGTGGCCTTGGTAGGCAACCAGTAAGTAAGAGAAGGACAACTTTGAATTAATAAACCACACTCGTCCCCTCATCTAACGGTATAATAGCAAAACTTAGATATAGCTTGCAATCCGACTTCAGACCCCAGTTCAAAATTAGTTGCCAATATCAGATGGTGTGCAAGTAGGCCAGATCGAATTTAGGATGATTTGCTGAGAAAGGCTTTTGCTAAATCAGTTCCCCAAACTTTAATTCTATTTAGATATATTCCGATATAGTGATATCCCTTCAGTGTTTGCAGTACTGTTCTACATAATTCTTTATAGTGTCTCTCAAAATTGAGGCTTAAATTTAACAAGCTTTTTTTTTCTAAGTTTAAAAGGCCAGTTGTTTGGCCACGGTTCATATTATTAACGGCAATTATGCTTGCCAGTTTTCGTAATCGGCGTGAATATCTTTCAATAAATTAAACAAAAAGGAGAAACTAACCATGTCATTTATTTACTAGGAATCTGGCTACACTGCAGAGGTGAAAGTACACCCTACATGACAAATGATGGAATGACTATCAGACTGGATGTTAGGAACACTTTCATTTATGACGTGCGCGAATATTTATGGATGGCGCGTCGACTTAACATTCTCGTCTTTTTAGTTTTGTGGAACGGAGCTTTACCTATTGGCAGTCAACACTGGAAATTACAGGGTCTTTTGAAAGATGGTGTGAAACTTCAGTCTTACATTACCCGGGCTCTGAAGCCTTTGGTTACAGCAATAAAAGACGAACCTTCTCTTGGAGGATGGGAAATCATCAATGAACCTGAAGGAGTCATTAAAACTTATGTGCCGAGCAAAAATCGCTGTGAAAATACACTCAAGTTGATTTTCTCAGGGGCTGGTTGGGCAGGATATGAATTCACAATGCGAGAGATCCAAAGGTAAGTGAGTTTTGTGATAACTTGACCGAATATATGACTTTTCTCTGCCATGAATTACAAGGTATTGATCAACATCTTACTTATTATAAAACGCAGATTGTATGTGTGTGTGTGTGTGTGTGTGTGTGTCTGTAACGTTTATATATTGGATCGAATTTCCTACATTTTTTAGCCGATTTCAACAAAACTTCACAGGACTACATAAAATTACCTTGTGGTGGTTCTAACGGCGCCGAAAATGGGAAAAACATAATTGTTTTTTAAGAAAATCAATTTGAAAACACGATTAAGACACATCGTGAGAATGAAAGGGGGACAACTCACCCACGAAAATGTAAACAAATGAGCATAGCATGATGAAAAAAAAGCCGAACTTGACGAAAACAAAATTTTATCGTCTAATGTTCATATTATTATTAAAGAGGAAAGATCAAAGTATTTTGGGGGTATTTTTTTTACATTTTTAATCGTTCTTAGCACGTCTGAAATTTTCGTTAAAAATATTGTTTTTTTTTTTTCAAAAAAAAGGACAGATAATCAATCATTTTCAATCATTTTTTTCGATTTGATAAAAAAGATTAAAATCTGACTTTGATATTCTTTTAAAAATCAATTATCATTTTTTCAAAACTGATTTTAATAAAAACAGAAATTATACTGTTTATTTAAAATATTTTGAACCAAGCTTAACTTAGCTTCTGCGCCGAAAAAATGTAATTTGAAAATAAAACAAAGCAGGTCATAACCTTTCACGTCGCTTGACGATTGACGAAAGGCACATTCATGACGTTTAGATAACTTACGGAAGGATAATTCTTTCTACGGATGGAAGGAAGTGAAATTATTTAAGTGAACAAATTATTTACCTCGTTACTTTTAAGGAAAAACTTTCAGCGCTCTAATTTTTTTTTTTTTTTTTTTTTGTACTTAGCTTTCATTTTACGTTTACGATGCTTTATGGAAAATATAAAGAAATTAAAAAATAAGACTGTTAATAGTGAGATTAAATTTCATAAGAAAAAGGTATCTAATTAATTTAGGTAACTTTCTTATGAAATTTTATCAGAAATGTACATAAAATACTATAATTTTATGTACATTTATTACATTTTACTGTGTTATTTGTATTTCCATTCATTTTATTATTAATTTTGATATTTCATTTATGGAAAAATGTCATAACTGAGATTAATATAAAAATAAGATCATATAAATTAAAGTTTAGCAGTAGTTAAATTTCATAAGATGATACTGTTACTTGTAGGTACCCTTCTCAGTTGAAATTGAAAACTCAAATTAACTTCTCCATACGTGTCTCGCAAAAGTAAAGGGCTTAAACAAATAATGGAACTAATTGTATTCTGAACTCCGTAAATAATGCAACTAAATTGTTTTGTAATCTGTTGGTCCAATTCAATTTTCAAAGCGCTAACAATGATTTTCAGACACGTTGAAAGGTTGATGTTGCCAAAAAAAAAAAATATTTTTAAAATGATTTAAAATTCTTCAAAAAATTAAAGAAATAAGCTTTTGTATTAAAATTCAATTTTCATTGAAAAATTTTTGTTTCAGAAAATATTGTCCAATTCATAAAAACAAATTAAAACAAATAAAAGCATTTTCATAAAATTATTTGTTTTATTGAAATTTGTTAATAAATTTTCATAAAAAAAAAAAAAAAAAAAAAAAAAATGATTTGCATTCTTCAAAAGCCTTGTGCTTTTAACTATTTAATCAAAAAAAATATAATAATTTTTTTCATTTTTCATAAAAATAGTTTATAAAATAAAAAAATTTTCTGCCATGACTTTAATAAAAAAAAAACATATTTATAATAATTTCATCTTGAATTTTCTAAAGTTTCATTAACATCTGACAATTTTTTAAATTAATTTTCCAAATTAAAAAAATACAAAAAAAAAAATTATCTATGTTATTTACTACCCCTTGTTGCGACAAAGAGAAACAAGTTTTTTTTTAAATCAAAATTTAGAATATTCTAAAAAGATGGAAAATTTTTTTTAAAATAATTAAAAAAAATTTAGTCTATCCTCTTCATAAAAAACATAAGCATTTTGTTTGACGATAAAATTTTGTTTTCATAAACTTTGGCGTCTTTTTTCATCAGACTATGCTCTATGTTTTAGCGATTCCATGGAGTGACTTAGGTTAAAAAAAAAGGTTGTTTGTGTGTGTGTGTGTTCCTTTATATATGGGATCGGATTTCTTACATTTTTCAGCCGATAAAACAAACATCCACTTTTTTTTTTTTTTCTGCAGGTAGTATTTCTTATTGCCTTGCATACTTTTTTTTTTTATTTATACATTCAGAATGCTTTAAAAAATTCCATTTACAAGACAATTGTTTATAATAAAATTCTAATTCTATTCAATCAGGGGACTCATCATAACGATTGAAAACAATTTTTTGTTTGAATTTGACCAATTCGAAAAAAAAAAAAAAAAAAAAAGACATGCGTGTCCGTCAACCTAAACAATAATCTAACGATCTCTACTGATTGTACGAATCGAAAAATCGGATAATTCTTTATCTTTAGGGAAAGATAATTCCACGTACTTTAGGACCGTTTTTACAATTCCCTTTGCAATTTGTTACAAGGCAGATCAATAAGGCATTGGTTCTATTTGAAATAAATTCAATATTTAAAAGAAAGTATTAAGAAATAATTTAAAAATGCCGACGTAAGAAATCTGATAGACAAAAAACAACAATATTTCGAAGATAATTATTAAGGAAAGAACACAGTACTTGTAAGAAATTAATAAACCCAAATAAAGTTAATATTTTTTATATTAGAAACAACGAGTGGAAAATATATTCAAATCAGAATTCTAATTATGAATCACCACAAGCAAAATATGCAATTTTTTTTACTGTATTCAATAAGTAAAAATCATAAATTGTAAAAGATTACAGAGAAAGGCTACCTACATTTTTCAACCGATTTCAACAAAACTTCACTTTTTTTTTTGGCAGGTAGTGTTTCTTATTGTCTTGCACATTTTTTTCTTTATTTTTACATTCAGAATGCTTTAAAAATTCCATTTACAAGACAATTGTTTATAATAAAATTCTATTCATCAATCGATAGACTCATAACGATTGAAAATAATGTTTTTGTTTGAGTTTGGGTTTGACCAATTCGTAAAAAAAAAAAGAAACTAATTAAGACATGCGTGTACCTTAAACAATAATCTTTGTCAATTTTATTTTTCAGTCTTTATGATGGTCGATACTTGATCTATCTGTTACTGTTACATCCCCGGGCAACGCCGGACTCTACTGCTAGTTATTTATATTGTAGAAGCAATTTCGGGAAGATGAAATAAAAAGACAGGAATGAAATCGACTTGTTTTAATAAATTTTATTTATCAAATGAACTTAGGAACATGAATAAATTTTGCCATTTTTAATGGCGCGCCACTAACTATCGTTGCAATATACTTTCCAATTTAGATTTATCAACTGGCAAGCAGATGCGATTCACAGCATTGATCCCAAATCTCTAGTCACTGTTGGGGCTTGGAGTGTCCGTTCTATGACCGACCAACTTGGATGGACAAATTATTACCATGACAACTGCCTTTATGAAGCAGGTAGACGAAGTTTGGTAAGATTTCCTTTTGAATGTGAAATTATTTGTAAAGCAGTTTTGAAACAAAGTCATTGGACTGTGATTTTTGTTGATCTAAAAAGTAAAAAGGCCAGAAACATTATAGCTTGGTATGGATCCAAATTCTTTAGTGTTCCTTTGAGAAAGGTCAGAAAAGTACGCAATAGTTTTAGATTCGTAGATTTTAAAAAATTTTTCCTTCTGAAAGCGAACCATAAAAAGTAAATATTTCTGTTGAAACAATTTAATTTCCATTTAAAAATTACAAACGGTTAAAAATAGTAAATACTTTGGATAACTTAGTGAGAGTCGAGGATATTACTTACATCTTGTAAGTATAGACTTACAACTCAAATTCTGTGATGGATTTTCATAGGACAGCGCAGAGAAGACAAAGTTGGTAAGGGAAATAGATTATAAATTTGATACTGGAGGTGATTTTTTGATGTTCTTACAAAATGATATTGGCTTTTATAGTGGCAATTATGGACATGGAGTGCTATTTATATATCTGACACATTTAAGTTATAAGGAATGAAGATGAGTAATAAAAATAACTTATCTCTAATAATCGATTTCGTGGTTTTATGTTTTGAGAAAAAGCTAAATAAAATAAATGATCATAAAATATAATGATCACTTGTTTAACGGCTTATAAACACTTTGTGGGTTATTTGAAGCCGAAACAATCTTTTTGTGTTATTACATTTTTTCTAGTTACAACTTGCATCAAGATAAATTGTAATAAACTTTTACTTTAAAATAAATTGTAAGGCTTTTCCAAGTATTTTGTTAAACTTGTTATATAGGCCAATTTCCTTACGAAGTGCAAAATCTTGCTTGGATTGTTATTTTCAAACCGTTCCTTTTAGTGTATTTTGTAAGTATTTGTCTTGTGGAGTTCACTACAGATTATCAATACAACCAGTTGTGTATGGTTCCTAACATTGTATGTACAACGCTAGTTCTTCATTTTTGAGCAGGTCATGGGTGGCAGGCGTGTCCTATACTGTCTAGATAGGATTACCTCCTCTTTATCTCTCTGTAGCCTGGGTAGCATTCCCAGGTTTTGCATGCTGTTGTGCAATTTATTGCCCTGTCAGTTATTCTATAACTGTTGACATTTGTCCTTCGTACATTTGCTGATGGTTGGATGCAACTCGGTGTATGGAAATTTCATATTTAAGGGCTTCGTGTTCAATGAAACTTTTGCTGTGTTATCGGCTTTTCATTTCCTTGGATACCAATATGGCTCTGTATGCAGCATAGGATACTATCTTTAATTTTTGGAAAGATTTTTCTTGTTTGTGAGAATATTTTATTTTGTAGTGATATATGGATTTATGTAGTGATATATGGATTTAGTTAGAAAAGATTATGGATTTATTAAGTTGGTTCTTTGAAACGGTTTCTAGTGCTAAATATTTAGCTAAGACTTCTGCACTGTAGATAGATTTATCAAGTAGTTGTTTCATAGATTTGATACTGTTTAATATGGTTACGCATCCTGCCTTGTCCATTTTTAAACACATCTATATACGTATGAATGGTTAGGGTATGTATTTTTAAAATTCCTCTTGGTAAGTTCCAGTAGCACTTTTGATGGTATTTTTGAGAGGACAGTCTCATGTATACATTGTGTGTTCAATTAGGCCGCAGTAGTAAATCGGTTTCGTAGGCAGAATGATTTAATAACTTTATCATTTTCTATTAAAGGGTCTTGTTTTTTTTTTAAGGCTTAGTCTATCATTTAATGGGTTATTGTTGGAATTTTCAGGGTCGGGCTGGGTGTTTAGGTACCGCCAGTGGTGACTTTGGGAACCTTATCACTGAGCCTTATTTCGTTATATATTTGTAAAAGATAGTTGAAAGATACATCAGGTAGCTACCTCAAAAAAAAAAAAAAAAAGAAGGTATCCCATCAGGGCCAATCGTTGTAATTTTCTGTTTCATCTTTCCCAGTTAGCACTTTGTAGTTTCCATCGTAATGTTATTTTTTTAATCATTTTTGTGACCTGAATTTTTCAATATGAGAGGAAAATGGTAGTTTCCGCAGATGTCAATGGGTACACTCCATTTTTAGTCGATAAATATGGTAGGATCACATAGATTTAACCTGATGTCCGAGTATTTGCCAGCTGCTGGATGAAGTTACGTTTGGGTTTTATTACTGTACTTTCCCTATCTGGAAATTACTAATTTTACCTTTTTGTGTTCGTCTTCTGTTGTATAGCAAAATAACAAAGAGTTTATTTTTCTTATAGTTTTATCACAATCAAGGCGATAATACCACTAAGATGCAATGGTTACTGAGAGTGAAAGAATAATGCTTTAGTGATGAGAAAGGACAATAAAAGAACAGAATTCAGGATGACACAAGATGGCGATTGGCACTGCATTTCAATCTTTGAAGATTGTAGGTGATAGGAAGCCGGAAGAGACTTCCACAGATGAGAAATACAAGAAAATAAATTATTTGAATAGAAATACAATTACATCTAGTTATTTTAACAGTAAAATGATGACTACTAGTTGTCAATAGTAGTAGGCTTAAATTCATGCAGTCGAAGGAGAAAGGTTCATTATAATAATTGTCATGAAATATTTATAGAAGGGAAGCCACATCACAGCAGTGGAAAAGTTACTAAAGTCGAGATTCCAGGTTGCTAATAAAACAATACCTAAAAATCACCATTTAAAAACCTTAAATGTTTAAAATCACAGGCCTTAAATGATCTCAGGAATTATTGCTCGTTTCTTAAAAATTGATCAGCTGACTTTGTAGTGGCTCTATCTATAATATGGGGCACTGTTTAAAAAGTGCAATGTGAGTTGTACTTATTCTCGGTTTTACCAAGTATCAAGTTTTATTAAAAGTCACCGACAATATTCAAACTTTTCATTGTGAAAATTAAAATTTCCCAGTCATATAAATAGTTTTTGGAGCTGTTATATATTATCTTATCAAGTTCTAGTTTAGTTATTTGGTGGTATGTATACGGAGCATATGGTTATGGTTTTATGTATGGTGGCCAATATTTCAATTGTCTGTAAGTTTGTATTTACAGGAATCTTACCGTAACGTATCTTATTTACTATTATGAACGTGACATCTGATATAACTATTTGTCATATGCCCTACACAACGAATAATTTATAACGCAATCATACGCCGACCAGGAGATATATACATTATCACGTCTATGGAGAGATATCTCTCCCAGGTCATGACAAATGGACAATTAGTAAACAAAATATTTTAAAGAACACTGTTCGATTGAGATAATCAAACAGTAGTCTTTTCCCAGGTTCGCTTCGGTATCAACACATATACCGATCCACAATTCAAGGATGAACGATGAGGCATAATAAATTTTGGTATAAGAATTTTAATATATATATATATATATATATATATATATATATATATATATATATACAAGATATTACAATAAAAGAAAAATGTAAGCATGAGTAAAGCATCCGACGACCAGAACCTCAAGACCTATGTTGGGATACCAAAATATGCCCAAATCCAAGTCGATTCGACTGAACCCGAACGGATTAAAAAAATAAGTATGAATAACAACGAATACTGAAATCAACGCATAACCAAAAGAGATGGGATAGAATTTATATATTACTATTTTGACATGTGGAAAGCTGTTTGTGAGAACATAAAATTTTTGGATGCATGTGTATCTAACACGGGTCCAAAATATATAGTTACTTATCTTTCTTACTCATTGTCCTTTCTTTTCTCTCTCTCACGTTTCCTCTTTTATTTCTTTCTTTTCTTTACACAAATTCAATTTCAAACACAATCCGGCTGCAACAGAGATATATACTCTCTTCTTCTCTCTTGTTTTCTCTTTTCTTTCTTCAAACACAGGCTGTATTGTCAGCGTGCAAATTTCCTTGCGTCTTCTGTGATAAATAACTCAATCTGGAGTTGACGAACAGAAATATATGTCCTTATATTTCTTATCCGTAGTTGCTTATGATGAATCGGACAAGTTCCATTATTACCAAAATGAGTCTCATCTTTCCGTTCATAAGTTATCAGCGCTTCAATTTCGAGTCTTGCTCTTTCAAAGACAAGACAGCAACTGACTTCCAAGTAATTTTCTAATTCCCACGTGTCCTGCATTTTGGCGCGAATTCCAGTTCTGCTGCTTCAGTCCCTCCTCTAGATTCTGTCTAGACGTCTGTTGCTACGGGTAACTGGGTCAGTCAACCTCTTGACCTGCTTTCCCAAAATGACTCGAGACTCCCACGTGACCTCTTCTGTTGTCAAGCGGAGATTAACCTTAATATATGCGTGTATGCGTGTTTGGGCTATCTGCATTCGTAACACTATTGCTGTAATGTTTTCATTTTTTTTACCCGAGGAATGCCTCTTACAAGCAGATAATTGTTGGAGAAAGATTAATAACTGGACGTACGTCATTAAAGTTGGCCTCCAAACTTGATATTTCATTGTATTATCTTATTTAGGTTTTGTTTTGGAGGAATTTGTTTGGAAGTTTTAATCGTTTGAGTGTTTTGATCCGCGACGTCCAATCCCCTTCTAGTCCTTAGTTTTTTGTGGTCAGATATTTAGCGATCTTTGCGCTTGTGTTCGTTTTCTTCGGGTTTACCAGATTATATTCTCGAGTCTACTTTGTTGGATTCGAGGCACCAATACTGTTCTCGTGGGCTCATCAAGAAATGTGACTGATTTTGTGTTGTGTATTGTTTTTTCATTGTTTTGGATGACTTGAGTTGTGGTTTATATTCGGAAGAATTGCATAGTACGTTGTTTTCCCTCTCTTGGTTTTTGTATTTAACTCTTTCAGTTCTGGTCTTATTTCTTTTAAAAGGTTCGACCAATCACCCGGTCCCAATTGTGACAATCTTTGGACTAATTCTATATTTTTTTATTTTGCATATTTGCTGTAAAGGATGTCGTCTGAGCATGTACTTTTCATTTGTAGCTTCGACCACCTTTCTTGCTTCCAGAAAAGGTATGTTTTCTTGTATATATTACAAGATAAGATTTTCCTTTTCACAGGTTCTTTCATGGACCATGTGGCATCTACTACAGTTTTCGTATCTGTATGAAGTTTGGCATTCATCCATTTTTAGTTTTTGTTACGATTTTAGCCATGTCGTTTGTCATTATAGAAGTATTTATATATTTTTTTTATTGTGTGTGTGATCCTTTTCATGTCTGTCACACTTAGCGATTTTAATTTCTCCTAGAACACTTGTGGGTATGTAATGATTTTTTGCGGGAATGTTTTGGTTTTAAGACGGGATGACTTTTGGCTACTTCAAACAAAATGTTTCCAAGTAAGGATCAAAGTGGAGTATCTGGTGTCTTGGATCAAGGGTGTCTTGCTCTTTTGTAGAGGTTCTGTTGGCATATTTTTCAGTGATGGCAAAATATAAAAAGAAAGAAAAAAATACAAATATTGAAAATATCGCTTAACAAAAAAATTTATAGGGGATACCCTTATACGTTTTACCGCCCACACACCCAAACACATATATAGACAAACGCAGTTCACGTGTCTTTGACTCTAGTATATTGAAAGAAATGTTTCAAATTGGATGGCAATATCAAAAGCCTATTCATATTAAAATAGTTAAACTTGACATTGATCTTGTATTTTTCAGGGTTATTTGGATTTTTTTGAAGTCCATTCATATGCCACATTTGGTTATTATAGAAATTTCTCTCCATTTAAGGTAAGCCCTTCTTATACTGTCAAACACATGTTAAATTGAACGAGATCGAAGAGGAAGAAGAAAAAATAATTCATATTTCTATTTTAATTTGGCTGAAAACTTATGCAAAGTATTATCTTAAAATTGATACGTTTGATATTCTGATCTTTAACAAATTGAAACTAAAAATGAATGCATCAGACATTAAAGAAAGCTAGAAGGTACAATGACTAAAACATAGTGGATTAGCCATGTTGAGATCATTTCGAATCGATGTTTAATTTCATATCATTAAAAAATATGATTTGGCATTTCTAGTTTATTTTTATTTTTTACAGAACGAGAAAAAAGCTTATGGGTTAAAAAAACCAATGATTATTGGGGAGTTTTCGCAGGCGGCCGGAGCTGGGATGAATATCACTAAACAGTTCGAATACATATACAACAACGGATACTCGGGAGCTTGGTCTTGGCAAGCCAACGCATTGGGTAAGAACTCCGACAGTCTGGAAACTCAACTGAAAGGACTGAGAACTTTGAAGGGCCGTTCGGATCATGGTTATATACAAGTCATTCTAGACTAGAACTATATCAGGAAGACAATATCAAAGAAGGGTTCATTTCGTTCTTACTTTCTGAAAGGCTGCCGTCTCTTTGAATGGGTCGTGTCGAAAGCAAAATTATAGCCTGTAAAAATACTTGATCACTGTGTTCTTTAATTCAATCTTCATTATTTCAATTAATTGTATTAACGCGCTCCACAAATTAACCTGAACTTGATTAAATATGCGCGTCTATGTTTGATTTATATTGTCATTGAAAACCTAGATTGTGAAAACTAACACAAATGAAGCATTAAAAAAATTCTACAGTTTTTTAGTTAAATTGTTTACGTCCAAGAGAACGCATGCTTGGATTGTATGAATATTGTTCAAAGGTTTGTGATCTAGCAATTTGATAATATACAGAGTTCTGAAAGTCAAGGGAAAACTGTTCGTCTTTTTTGATTTTTCTAATTACTTTTCATGTCGGCGTGTTTGTCCGTTAGGATAATGTAACGCAGGAGGAGAGCTCTACGTCATTGGACACTATGTATGTAGCACTTGTTAAATACATTTAAAAGTCCACTTTCCGAATTACATATATTATTTTTGGTTTCTTTATATTATAAGAAACTCAATATTGTTTTTATTCTTATATTCAAGGTTACATCGTATATGCGCCTTTTTTCAGAAATATTTGTTGTATATCAGCGCTTAGCTATAGCCATCAATATGGGGATGAAAAACACTTTGAAATATGATATTTTAAAGTTCTTCAGTTTTATAACCTTTTTCAGTATATTTAACAATTGATAGATACACTTAGTCCAGTGCTTGGCGTTATCGTAACGCACAAATGTTTAATGCCGCGTTTGACAGCATTTGAACCTACAAAAAAGTAGTTTTACACTTAATAATGGCTAGAAGTACAGCTGAAAGAGCTCGATTCCAACATGTTTGTTAATAGGAAGAGTTAACTAAAAGATAAAAAATTACTTGTCTTAATCAAAGCTGTATTTTTGAAGAATAACTATATAAATACACAGGATCTATTATCTTTCTCTTTGATCGTCATCATGCAAAAAATCCCTTCCCCTAAATTATTTGATGGTAATAAGTTATTTCTGAACTGTTTTAAAAGATAAAAATAGAAAAATTTAGCAAAGTGAAATTTAGACCATGTCAGAGGAGGGTGATGAAGACAAAGTTCATCAGTTTTTATTACTAAATGAAAATATTTTCAAGCTGATATAAAAGTAATTGGATCAAGCGGAAATTTCCATCAAAGACGAGTTAAATATGTTATATGCCATTTTCAATATTTCCGTGCGTGTGTCACAATTACACAAAAATCCACTGATATGGAATGAAAAATGTTAAACATTTTGTGCAATTCTTTCATCATAAGGGTACAGAGCCAGTGATGTCCCTGCTTATCATATTTTGCCCTTTTTGATGACTTTTTTTTTTCTGTCATTCTACGCAATAAGCCATTGTTAAAAAAAAATCAGAAGCATTATTGCTGTTCTCAACAATAAAGGTCAGAATATTTGAATCTTTCATAAGGAAATTTTCGAACTTCATGTCACTAATGAATATTCATTATACAGAGAAAGTTATCGCATTATTTAGCATTGTTTTTTATTCATTTTTTATTATTTATACGCTAAAATTTCATTTAAACTTCACAAATAGCCATTGTCCAGATTAAAAAAATCCGTCATCTGTGCTTGACTGCAAGTCTGATATTTTGTAATAAACTTTTTATGACTAAATCTGGTTTTGTCTAATATATTTGAAATTATTCAAATGTTTTACATTGGTCTTATCCAATGTCACATAAGAAACTTGAATGATTATCAGAAGCAGTAATTGATGAATATATTTAAAGTGAAGTATTATTTTCCGTAGCAACACAAATTATTATTTGCCCACTAGGTACGTAGTTAGATACGATATTAAAATGGAAATCTAGAGTAGACAGTGTTTTCACTATTGCGAAATAAAAAAGCTTTGGAAGCAGTTACATGGACTTTTAAACAATACTAACCGATGTTCATGGTCTTCTGGGAAGGAGATGCTTAGCTAGTTTAAATTAAAAAGAAAAATCACTAGTATAATAACTTCGTTCTTTTTTGGGGGCTGTATTCCCGACTAGGGTGTTTGTGCCTGACTAACTGAAACATCAGAGAAGACTTCTAAAATGTCTATTAATTGCAGGTTTAGACCCGAATTTTGATTATGGCGACTTTTTCTCCCGCTAATTCTGGGTGACAGAAGAGCGAAAGGAAATTCTGACAGCTTCCAATACTTTTAAAGCTAAACAAGAGTTGCTTGGTGGTATCTTCGAAGAATGAGAATGAAACAAATTTTTTAAGGATAAACAGTTTCTACCTCAGGAAGAAATTTTTAATTCATTTTCCAGCAATTCCGAAAAGGCAAAAATCAAACAATAGAGAATCAAATGAAAAATGGGCAAATGAAAGAAATGCCATACGAGAAAAAAAACAAACTGTGTGAATAAGAACATTAGTCAAAATAATAACTAATGTAAGTCAGGACTTTTAATGAGTTGAAAAGAAAAATCGTGTCACGTGAATAAAAATAAAAGTTTAAAAAAAATATGAAAATCAGGCATTTTAAAATGATCAATACGCCAGAGAAAATGTCGGGTTTTGTCAAGAACACTTTTGATTGAGAAGCAATTGAAATATGTGGATAACGCTAAGAAATAAAAATCAGGACATGTAAATACACAATTTGAAAAAAAAATTAGGTTTAAAAATTAAAAATAAAGGTGTCAACACCTCATGAAAACACACACTTCCGTGTTAAAATGCTTTTCTGCAATATTTGAAACTGTAACTAATATTTCAAATCAGATTAATTAAACTTTAAATCCGCTAAACTTCCTCAAAGTTTCAGGAAAGTATATTTTATTTTTGAAAGATAAAAAGAAAAATACATTTAAAAGTCCACTTTCCGAATTACATATATTATTTTTGGTTTCTTTATATTATAAGAAACTCAATATTGTTTTTATTCTTATATTCAAGGTTACATCGTATATGCGCCTTTTTTCAGAAATATTTGTTGTATATCAGCGCTTAGCTATAGCCATCAATATGGGGATGAAAAACACTTTGAAATATATTTTAAAGTTCTTCAGTTTTATAACCTTTTTCAGTATATTTAACAATTGATAGATACACTTAGTCCAGTGCTTGGCGTTATCGTAACGCACAAATGTTTAATGCCGCGTTTGACAGCATTTGAACCAACAAAAAAGTAGTTTTACACTTAATAATGGCTAGAAGTACAGCTGAAAGAGCTCGATTCCAACATGTTTGTTAATAGGAAGAGTTAACTAAAAGATAAAAAAATTATTTGTCCATGGTCTTAATCAAGGCTGTATTTTTGAAGGGTATCTACATCCATACACAGGATCTATTATCTTTCTCTTTGATCGTCATCATGCAAAAAATCCCTTCCCCTAAATTATTTGATGGTAATAAGTTATTTCTGAACTGTTTTAAAAGATAAAAATAGAAAAATTTAGCAAAGTGAAATTTAGACCATGTCAGAGAAGGGTGATGAAGACAAAGTTCATCAGTTTTTTGTAAGCGATCTGGGAATGCAAAGGAAATATTTGTCGTAGATTACTTCCACAACGCAGAGAATAAATCATTAAGTTCAGATTCGAACATCGGGGTAGAAAGAAATGCCGAAAACTCGATTCGCAGGTACTATATCACAAATCACAATGCACGCAACCAGTCAGAAAAATAACTCACTCTCCGACAAACGCGGTAGCGAAAATGCCCGAATTTTGATATTTATTGTGATTTTATACACAATTGTGGCACGAGGCCTAAAAGTGGGTAGGTTAAGGCTGGTCATCACTATCTTATACCTAGCTAATCCGATTCACGAACCATTCACTCATTACAATTTGCCCATTCGTCCGTTAACAATCAATCCTCCATACACCATAATACCACATCCTCTCAAGGGGGACCTACAAAATGCGCCCCATGCCATAAAAATTTAATGATAATAAATTATTATATTTAAAAATCTATGATGAAAAATGAGAGGGGAGGGAATGAACCCCAAAACAAACTAAACATGAACACAAAGTGGACTAAACATAAGTGATGTTAGTAGGGCACGTTCAACCCACAAACAGAGAGGCCGCTGTATTCTGCCCATTGGACAAAATCAAGAAGCTCTCTCGCTAAGGGAGTGGTAAAGGATAAAAAAATAAACGGGTATGGAAAATATAAAAGCTGACCCAGTCGAGGTGAAAAAAGAGGCCAAACTGGGGATGTTGGGAATCTCGACTTGGATCATAACCAAAGATGCAGCAGAAACAGTCCAGAAACAAAACTTACTCACATTAACTAGGTACACAAAAGTTTGTGTAACTAACCAAGTGCAGGGCTCCATAGGAAACCACCCCGATAGGTTGACCTAAAAGAGAAAATCAAGGCTAGCCCCGTTCAAACGAACCAAGCTCGCCCCAGTCACCCACCTTTCACTGAAGACTGTCGAATGCAGGCGTTTTCTATCAGTTCTAATCTTCATCTTGATCAGATCCTGATGAGAAAGACGGCTGCCTCCAACACTTCCTCCATTCGCGTCGTCCAAATCACCATTCGGGCCGTGGCCAGCAGCGCCAGAAACACCATTCGTTTCGCCCCAGAATACGAGGGCGACACATTATCACACGCGTATGTGCGATCCATGAGCACGAGCTTTTCGGAAGCGAGACGAGCCGTCAATTCGCCGACATGGTACCATAATAGGCGGACCCGGGGACAATGGTAGAAGGCGTGCGAAACCGTTTCCTCTAAACCAAGGTGACATCATTCACAGTCTGGCAAATCCGCCAATCCCCATAGGAAGACCTTGTCATTGAGAGGCTGCCGATTCTGAGCCAATCACAAGGTAAGCGAAAACTCAGGGTTACTGAGGTAATCCGCCACTGGCGCCCAAAACCAGAAAGAGCGAAACTCCTCCTCCGACAAGTCGAGCCGCTC